GAAAAATTGGGAAGCATCCTGTCTAATACACGAAGATTTTTATTCAGCTGAATTATAAATACTGTAGTTGTTTTTGTACTTTATTTACTTCTGTATTATTTATCTTTTAAAATAAACACTAGTATTTAAACACATTATCGAAAATTATTAATCTTTGCTCGGTTTTGTTTTCCGTTTATTCTACACGCGTTATATACAACTAAAGAAAGTATTTACGCTGAAGGGATTTCAAGCTAAAAGTTATAGATTAAGCTTTAAAGTAACAACAAGAAATAATTTCTTCTTTACATAATGCTATGATATACCTAAATCTTCGATGATGTATAGCAGGAACTGATCATAATAATAAACAGTGTCTTGCGCTTCTGAAGATATGAAAGATATATCTTTACCCTGAAAATATATGATGTGTTAGCATTATTGGTCTGATACTGTTTTTATTACCTGCTCACAATGTGCGGACTTGCTGTAAAATGTATTCTAGAAGGTCATAATGTAACTACTGAGTTACTTGCCACTTGAATTGCGAATTTCTAAAACACACCCATTACGGTTGTGCCAGAACGAAAACCCCACATAATGGTCGAAATGGTACAAACACGATAGAGATGGGAACGGGCCGGTATATCGAAAACACCGGTTCAAAAACTAGTACAACTAAATTAAAAACGATTGTTTCTATTAATTATTATGAATTTGGTTCTATGTAATTATATATATTTCTTATTATATTGTGAGTTTGTAAAATGCATACAAATGAAAATCCAATGTTGCTGAAATAAATTGAAAATAAGAAAATGATATTTTATTTCGTGAGCAGCTCAAGTAAATCTTTACTTGAGCTTCTTAAAAATAATTCATTAGCAGAATTACTTTTAAGAAGCTCAAGTAAAGATTTATAGACGTATTCTTTAATCAGAATTAAACGTTAAATCAGGAATTTGCAAGAAATTCGCATTAACAAAGTCGAGTAACCACAAATTCACTCACCTCTCACTCGAAAAGATTGGTTGTTTAGAGTTAAAATTGGGAGTTGATACTCGCGCAATCGCGTTCTTGTTTATCTCTGCTATTAAAACATACTTTTAATTATAGAATTTAACACGTGATATAAATTATTGCAGTGCCTTACTACATATTTCTTTTATTTTTGGAATTACTAATACACTGTTTTTAAGGTCTGTGTTAGGACGCAAAAATAAGGAATATTTCTGTCGAACATTCTCTCATCGCACCGCCTAAACCATCACCACATTTAAAGAATAGATACTTAAATAAAGTAATTCGACTGTAATGTTCAGCATTTTGACTAAATGCTGGAAGCCTGAATAATTCTTTTAACAGGATTTATTAAAATAGGAAAATAATAAAGAAATTAAAACATAATTTGTTTTACCTTAATTCTTTTATTTCCGATAATTATACTTATTAAAATGACATACGTAAATAAAATATACGTTTCTATTTTTCTTGTAAGGTTAATATATGCTTCACTTCTCCCCGATTTACAGTCGAAATTAATTTTATTGGTTTTAATATTATCACATTGATAAATAGTATTATTAAAATTAGATTATGAAATTCTTGTAATACACGAAAAGTATATTTATAAAAAGGGAGGATTTATTTTAATTTTTTAGATAATTTATGCGTTAAGACATTTACTTCTATATTTAAATAATATATTTCTTCTCATAAATTTAAATAGATTGATAAATGGCTCATATTTCTTAATTAGAATTAATAAATCACAAAATTATAATTGAATTCTGTGGAAACGATTTCAATCGATTAGCTAAAATAATCGCTCACCAACACAAAATCTCACAAATATTGCCTTCTAATGACAATAATCAAAAGTTCGTTATGTATTTGAAATTATCACTACATGCAATTTTTAACTAATGATGCAAGGGTGCCTATTCATGTATCTTTTGCATGTTGTATGGCTAGATGAATATTTCGTGTTTGTCGTCCAATAATAAATACGACAATACGAAATCACTTTTAAACCTGTACAACGTGGCTCCTGGTCTGCTTCAATCCACATTTACAGATTTTCGCGAAGACACTCTTGTCGGATCTTCTGAAAGAGATTCTCTCTACAATGGAAAACAACATTGACACGAAAGGAATGCTCAAACTAAACAAATGCATTATATAAATCATGTAAGCCTACTCTAACCCATACTCCAACGTTGCCTCCCATTTCTTCGTCTTTTGTTTTGAGTATTTCCATCGAATTTACCTACAAAAACGTTTACATCTAAAATATTTTTTCATTCGCAACATTTCTTTGAAGAAAGAAATTCCTTCAACCATTGAACTGCAAAGGACTCAGATCGCTTCTCAGTTTGTACATTTCAAGCACCCATTATCGAATGTTTTGGCTCCTGCGAAGAGATATTCGATGACGATCGTTTTCTACGGTTGTTTTCCCATCTTTTCATCATCTGACAACAATGATTGGTTAACTCTTAACTCCTTTGCCCAATTTCCTTCCTCGGTGAACAGTTTGAAGTGCGAGCGGTGAATCATTTGCCCATGATTTTCAAAAGCAGTTCACTATCTTGACGCATGTTTCCATATTCTTCCATGGTGGGATTATCATAAGTTCAAAGCTGAAATAGACAAGTGGCAAGTAATGATGACATATGGATAATCAGTATTATGTAGGCAGTAGCTGGGTCTCTGGGTGATAGATGAATGTTCACCTTATTGTACCTAATTACAAAATAGATCCTGTTTTAATTAAATCGCATTATTCTTTAATTACTGTAAAAAGAAAATCAACGAAATAATCCAAAATATTATTTACTTCTTTCTGCAGCTTTTGTTAGAATAATAATTTATAGTAATAATACATTTTGACAAGATGGCCGAACAGTGAAGGTGACAGAGTACTGTTCTGGGGGAATCCGAACAGGTCCATCCGGATATGTCGCGTCTCATTATGGATCCGATCAAATCCACAGTGGGTTACTAAAAAGAAAAAAAAAAAAAAGCTATCTTAGTGGCTACAAGACGGAATCAGTTAATTATCCGCAATTAACAGGGACCAAGATTATAACAGTTCACTTTATTTCGCCTACTTAAGAATGCATTTCGGATTGGTAATTTTCCAATCCTTCTTCAGGCTACAAATTGTAAATTTAAAAAAAAAAATAACGTATATAAGGTTTAAAGAACACATAGCTATTATCAAAATTATATCAACCTAAATAATGGGATGAAAATTGATGGCGTATGGTATGACGTCATTCAGAACCATAAAAGGTGTCCCAAACGTGAAGTAGGGTAGACAGCCTTAGACACTGAAGCCGTGAGGTTCATTTTATATACTTGTAAATTTAATTTCTTCTCTTCTTTGTTAATATTATACAATATTTTAATATAATAGCCAGCAAAGTATGGCGATCGGTCAAAAATGATCCTCTCCAAGATTTTTACGTTTTTTTGGATTCGGGGCAGTAGCGTAGCGTGGGTGTCAACTGCCGGGCGGAGGAAAATTTCGTCGCCCCCTTATTTAGTATCTCAATTTAATTAATTAACACTTTGAAGCTCAGTAACTCCCGTGCGTCAAATTTATATTTTTAGGGCGAGTATCAAGGACACTGATGCTATTAAATTTTAGTGATTAAATGTCGAGGGGTTACATCTCAAATGGGAGTCGGACTTAATGCAGATTTTACTCATTACCATCATTTAAACTTTTTTTTTTTTAAAGTTCGTCTCTACCCTCAAAATTAGGCCTTTTGCCATATTATAGTAACTACAGAAAAAGCTAAAATCTCGTAACAGATGGCGCCATACACATTTAATTTTTTTTTTTTGCCGGGGAAAGTTACACAACTCTTTTCTGGATTTATTTTATACAATACAAAAATAGGGAATAGAAACGAGTAAGATCTGCCTGTTCTTAACAGGCACACCTTACATTTTATGCCCACTCAAAGCACAATGAGGAATTTTACTTACTGCCATGGGTCGAATCCCCTATCTGAACAGATCGATACAAACGTTACTAATATTTAAATTACGCACGGTTGCATTTTTTTTTTTTTTGTTAACTCCACGCTGTGGTAACTAAGATGGCCTCTCCCGAGCAAACCAATTGTGGGTTTGGCCAGGCTCACAATGGGACTGCTGGGTGGTGAAGGATGGGATCCAACATATCCAGACTGACCACACCCCGAAAAATCTCTAGGGTTTTCCTGACCCATCCGGATTCAATTCCAGGTTCCCCAGAGCAATATTTACCAGCTTAGCTGCGATTCCGGGTTCCCCAAAGCGGTAGGTTGTCACCTTAACAACTAGACAATCTGGGTTTAGTTCAAGGGTCGCCAAACTTTTTTCATCGTCGACCTCCTACAAGTTTTTGAAACCTCATATAGACCCCCACCAAAAAGTTTGAGTTACAAGCAAAACAAAGTACTTACTATTTTAATACATTTTTTAATTTTGCATTTTTTTCATATATTGTATATTTGTTAATAATTTTTGTAACTGACAATCAGTGAGACAGATAAGCTTGATCCTTAGCTTATTAAGCTTGATAATCGACCCCCAATAAGTCGATATCGACCACTTTGGCAACCTCTGGTCTACATTTAGGTTTTATTCGTTTACAACCGGGATGTATGGGCAATCTACCGAGGGGAATGCCTTCCAGGAGGACTTTTATGGGAAACTGGCCCCTTCTTAGGTGTAACTAACGTGAAGAAAACCTGGAATAATCCATGTGGCCAGCCCACTGGCAAGGTTCGAACCTACGAAAGATTACGTGTTCGGTGGTTTTATCCACTCGACCATCTGGACATCCAGCTGTAAATTCAGAAGATTACTTGTAAATCCGTCGTAAAAATTATTGCCATTCTACAGTAAAAGCAGATAAAGTACGCACGACTTTCATTTAGAATTTACTCATTAGTTACCATATCACACAATGTGTAGATAAATAACATAAACTGCATGTCACAGACAGAAAAAGACAGCTTACCTACAGTAATATACATTTATTTTGAACAAATTTTGCATATATTACCAGTTTTCTTCAGCATGTTAGGTACAAGTGGCAAAATATACATTTGTACGGTGTATATAAATTTCTCAACTGTATTTTTTTTTCTTTTTAAAGACATTTTGTCATAAAATCATACGGGTATCAAAATTTACATGGAAGAGTTCCATTGGAAGTTTATCAATACTTGGAAGATGCTTTGTTTTTTTTTTAATGTGCAATAAACCATATTTTACGTATGTACCCATTGCCACCGTCAAAACTGGCACATCGGAAAACACTTTTTTCATTTTTAATTTTACTTCCTTCACCGATAAAACCACATTGGCTCGTCCGGGGCAGCACGCTTCGACACGGAGGTGGGGAGATGGGCTCTGGGCCTCGCAAAGTAACTGCACGCATCTCTTTGAGCGTGACGCGAAATTTTGTAAATTTTTCATTAACAATGCTGTAAATTTTCTCTAAAAACAAAACAAAACAAAAAAAGATAACTTTCAAAAGTCTTACAGAAAAATATTAACATCCATATAATATGAAGACTGTATATATAATATAATATATATATTTGGTAACTGTACGTGAACGAAGGGCTGCCCTCCATTCCGACGCAGACGGAGGACGATCGGATTATGGATTGTAGCCAAATTCGATGGCATCATCGTCGTCAAAGTCTCCGTACTGCCACAGATTCACCTGAAAATAAGAAACAACGATACGTTAAATTTCCAACAGGTATGTAAAAATTCCCGAACTCTCCTAAACAATTACTCTTATGACATACTTAAGGCTGTTATACACGTTACGGAAATCCTTTGAGGATTAACCGTGATTTTTTTTTCTATCTATCCACCTTTAAATAAAAATAATTCTTTATACATTTGGAAATATTTTAATAACTTTTGTAAATTACTATGTTCGATCCAGCCAGTTATATCCGATTTTTTTTCGTCTGTTAAGTACATCATTTGAGGATTTCCGTAACGTGTATAACAGCCTTTAGTTGTAAGAGATATTTACATATTAATTAAGTTCTTACATTCCTGAAACAAAAGCAAATATTAATGCAGTTTAATAATTTCCATCTTGCCACTTGCTATAAACTTTAATAAATTATTATTAAAGCCCATACTTAATTAAATTAATTTTAATAAAAGTCCCCTTAAGCCCATAACCCGAGATATCTCGGGCAAGTTACATAACGTTACATAAAACGCGGTCCTTAAGGCCTTGAAAAAAATTTTTTAAATTTTTGGAATGTTTTTTAGGTCTCCAAATTTTTCAAAATTTTTTCCCGCGTGAAAAAATTGTATCGCGATTTTAATTTACCTTTAATGACGCACGCTTCACGCTAATTGCTTTTTAATAGTTTTTTAATGGGAGTTTGATATCAAATTTCATTCATCGTTCTAAAGTTGTAGTGCACGGATTTGACTTTGGTAAAGTTATTTAAAGCTAGTTTCTGATGTCAAAAATGACCTCCGATAGTTTTTTAATTCTTTTAATTAATAGATTTTATTATATATAAGTTTAATTAAGTTGGGGGTCGGAAATCGAAATAAAAATTTTAATTTTTTAAAAATATTTAAAAATATACGGCCAGCTAGTATTCACCCTACTATAAACCCATCGCCTCCCAAGACTTCTGAGAATGTCCCGGGAAATCCGACTCCAGCTGTGTTCAAAGTCATCCAGCTGTGTAAACATCAGTAATGACTCATCAGTGTCTAATTTCATAGAAAGAGGAGACAAAGGAAAATAAAATTTGAAGCTTTTTCTTCAAAATTAACACATTTCTTTCGTTTTTTTTCAGTTAAGTATTTTTTATGTTTAATTACATTAATATCAAAAATGTCTTCGTACGTAACGGGTTAATTATTGACAAATATTAATTAATGTAATTAGTCTAATTCAAATTGAGATATTTTTGTATGTATAATCTTAAAGCTGAAATCGCAAAAGCTTTTTAATATGTCCATTATGAGAGACTTCATATATTAACATATAGGTGTATATTATGGTTAGTGGCAAGATTCTTAGGTGTATTATATGGTTACCTATATAAAATCATGCAGAAACCCAACAAATTCAATCTTGGACTTGAACTCTCTCCCCTACTCAGACTCGGCATATCACTCCTGTGCAACAATCCACCAGACTGTTTCTGCTACATTTGTGAACTGACAACTGAACTGAGTGCAATGAAAATTACCAATGCCTCTGGTGAAGAAAACATACCATTATTATTTTGGATGTAAAGTCATAGCAAAACCCAGGCTCCTAAAATATGCTGTAATTCATGCGCATGAATACTGAATGGATAGTTAAAGTACACACACAAATCAATGCCTTTTGTTGTTGTTCTGGTATGGCAAAAATGACAAATCAAGTTGACAATTGTTACTTTTGCATGACAGACATCAAAAGCTTTACAGCAAAATCAAAAAGCAAGATACAATATTCCAACTGTCCACAGCACTTTGGCCAGTGCCTCACGACAAAACGATCCCAACCTCTGAATTTCACAGAAGATTCAGAAGAGGAATCTGATCCTGAAGACATCTCACCAAAATGACAATCAAGTTGTGGTGAATACCCATCATGGAGTCCCACAGAAGAGCCACAGCTCAGTTGAATGATCTGATATTCATGATTTAAATCCTTAAAAAATAAAGACTCAACTACTTGCATCAAATCTCCAGCAGTAAAAACTTTTGGAGAAAGGTGAAGTGTCCCATCACAGAAAAAAAGGAATTGGAAAATGTGAAATTTTTCAATGAAGGACAATCTCTTTGCAACAATATACCACATTTGTTGGAGGAGCTTAGCTGCAACAGGATTCTGCAGAGTGAAGACTCGTTATTGAATTAACAAAATTCAGTCTTAAAAGAGTATTGCTGCACAGTGGCAAAAAAACATCTGTCTGTTCCAGTCACTTGTGCTGTTCACATAAAAGAAACTTGCAACAACATAAAGATAGTGCTGAACAAGATAAAATGCGAGTGTAAGTGGAATATGTGTGTGTATGCGCATGCTGACTTCAAAGTTGTTGCAATGCTAACAGGTTTTCAAGGAATAGACTAAATTCTACTGTTTTTTTTATGTGAATGGGACAGTCGAACAAGAACCTGTCATTACATGGTAAAAGCGTGGCCCTGTTGTGCAGCAAACATACAAAGTCAAAAGAATATTGCTTTTATTGCTCTAGTGAAGAAACTTAAAAATCCTCTTATCTTTTCTTCATATCAAACTCAGTTTGATGAAAAACTTTGTGAAAGAGAAGCAGAAACCTTTGTGTACTTGAGACAAAAGTTTTCTCATCTCAGCTATGCGAAAGTAAAAGTAATTTTTGTTGGTCCCCAAGTAAGACATCTTTCAAAGGATGAAAAACTTAACCCAGTGGAAAGGACAGCATGGGACACATTCAAAAACATGGACAAGAATGTTTTTGGAGAATGTACGAGCTAACGACTGTGAGGAAATAGTAGAGAAGTTGTTAATGTCCTACCAAACACTGAGTTGCAACATGTCACTCGAGATGCATTTCCTGCACTGCCATATACCGTGTTTCCCCGAAAATAAGACAGTGTCTTATATTAATTTTTGCTCTGAAAAATGCACTAGGTCTTATTTTCAGGGAATGTCTTATTTTTCCAGGAAGAAGAATTCACATTTATTATTGAACAAAAAAATTCCCAAGTCGAACTTAGACGAGAGTGACGTATATCCGTGAGTCGAACTGTCGTCTTTTTACAGCGTCAACATCGGACTCGATGACCAATTAGTGCTTACTGAACCGTAGCACTATGCAAATGTCATGTGGCGTGATTCCCGGCCGACTAATTAGCCATTACCAGCCGTAACGTTATGCAAATCTGTGATTCCCAAGCCATAGTCTCATGTAAATCATGCCGTGTGGCCTAATTGTCTGCTGACCAATCAGTGGCTGTACTTTCAAAAAACCAACGGCCACTTTCAACCATCTGTCGATGACTGTTACAACTAAAAAAATCTTCGCTAGGTCTTACTTCGGGGGGAGGTCTTATATTTTGCAATTCAGCAAAATCTGTGCTAGGTCTTATTTTCTGCAAATGTCTTATTTTTGGGGAAACACGGTAGATTTTTTCTTGCCAATCTAGAAGCTATTTTGTATGAACATGGAGAAAAATTCCATCAGACTCTTTCTCAAACAGAAAAGCAGTATAGAGGAAGATGGAATGAGAAAACATTAGTAGATTACTACTGCACTCTACAACAAGAAACTTTGGAAGAAGAATAAAAAAATGAGAACACATCATTAGGTGTTTCAGTTTTTAAATGTATACAAATATGAAAAAGGGATAATTAACATAAATTAATTTATATCTAATTAGTCAATTAGCAATGTATATAGCTAATAAATATGATCCTTTGAACAGAAAATGTTTTCCTTGATAAACTTCATTTCTCTCAAAAGCAGTGGGTGTTAGGCCAACTCTTTTGCCAGATTCAGATTCAGCACCATTTAAACCATAAAAATCAGTGAAAATGTTTGACAGGCACAGAAATTAATTTTTTTGAAATGTTATTGATTTGAACATGTTTTCTATAAAATAATATATTATTTTTTTTTTGTGAAATTTTTTTTTCTTGGAACTTAACCCACTCTTTTATAACAACCAAATAATTATTCACTTACTCTTTTTCGACGTGCTGTCTGTTCTGCCGCTTTGTAGTCAGCTATCAGTTTCTGTAATCTTTTCTCCCTTCTTTCGTCTGTTAATAATAATCCCTCTGCAATTAAATTTTTGGCAATGTCCTCCTCCTCTTTGGACGTTAGTAACGTGACATAATCAAGTCCCAGATGTCGGTACTCAACGTTCAGTAAGAGCATCCTGTTGTTTTCCGTGTCCTGTATGAGAGCGAGTCTTGCTTCCTCAGCAATTTCGACCTGTGAAAAAATATTGAGTAAATCAAATGCATGTAACTTATTATTATTATACATTTAAAAAATAATTATTCTTATTCTGGCTTAAAAGCAAACTTACATCTTTCGGTAATTTCACACACGCTAAACCGTAGTGGGTCGCTGCCGGTGGATACCCATGGAAAGTTGATGGAAGCGATGCGAGCTTTGTAGTATCTGTTACTTCTTTCTATAAAATCATTGAATTAACCCTATTAATTATAATCCAACCTAAAATTTTCATGAAAAGAATGAACAAGTTATATATATATTTTATACAAGAAACTAAACATCTGCTTAAAAATCATGATAGGGGTTACATTTCGAATAATAAAATAAAACTTACATTTCCATAGTCAATATAAGTGACATGGACCATATTTCCATTCACTTTATCAACCCTGGCCCGATACCACTGGTTATCTACATAGTTTGCCGCGCACATGTCACCCTTCTTGGGAGTGTAAGCACCAGGAAGAGGTGGATTATTAGCCATATCTTGCTGTAATTTTTCCGACATCTCTTCAAGCTGTTTTCCTGTTTAAAATTTAAAATGAATTGCTATGTATTTGAGTAAATAGGTAAAATTATTGCAAATTCACTGAGATATTACAAAATTTCAACCTAGCTTCAGTATTTATGAATTCTGGATTAAAACACCACACTAAACATTTGCAGTGACATATATCTTCATTATAAAATAAGGTTTATTATTAAATACTCGGGAAGAATTTACAAGGAATTTAAATAGTAATATCAATTACAATGCTTTATTATTAATATGTTGTATTGTCATCATTGTTAAAACGAAAATCTTTTTTACTATCTAATTATGCCAAATACTTAGGCACAGTTTAGTTCTTACTCTATCTACTTATCAAAGTTATGCAATAGGGGATTCCTACAAATGAGTGCATCCACACTAAAGATTTATTTAAATAGGTACCAGGGCTATTCAAAAACATCAGCACAGTTAAGTACGTTCCATTTTATATAACTAAAAACTGTGACCTATGATTATATTTTAACATAGTTTCTAGCCACACCAAGACTCTTGTAAAATTTAACAAGCTTTCATATAAGTCCTCACAAAATTCTGCTGCCCATACCATGACTTTCCTGACAGACAAAGTTTATTGATAGTTTTTTGCCAAGTATGACCATTCTACATTATGTATGAGACCAAATTCTCACCACCCATACTGATTCGATCCAGAAAAACATCACCTTTGACATAACTGTCAAGGAAGGTTAATGCCTACCTTCCCCATCCATTGTTTCTCATGTTCTTCAGAAAGCAATTTAGGCACTGACTGAACACACAACTTCCAGGAGTATAATGTTTTGGTGATCACTTCACAAAAAACAGTGTGGGAGATCTGCAACACAAATTTCACTACTGCTGGATGTGGACAGTCATGCTACACTCCTCAGGTGTAAACAAGATTCTGTTATGTCCCTATTTCACTCACCACATAAAAACATAACTTACTTTCCGAATAATCCTCAAATTTATTTTAATGAAGTACATTCCACAAAATTCTGCACTTGCTACGTATTGAAAAATTATATATTTATAAAAAAAGGGTAATTTTAAACACGAAAATGCATGCATTATCTAATGCATATTAAAACAATCACTAAGGAGTGGGCTAAACTAGGCATATTAAGAAACAGATATTAAAAGTCACAAATGATTTTAATCATTTTGTTTCAATAGACTCACCATCTTCAAATTTCTGTGCATAAAACGTACAATCGGTATTCACTTCCGTCACAACCACAGGTTTATACGTGACTTTTCTTTCAACCACGTCATCAATGATCTCCTGTTCTTTTGGTTCTTCGTAATTGGACCATATCTAAAAATAAAAGATACTTACTGAAGCAAGCATAAATATCAATATTTTAATAATTATTAATATTTTAGATTTAACAAAAACAATATGTACAATAAATCTTGATGAGTTGAACTTCCTTAAATCAAATTTTATTTCTGTCCAGACTTAAATCTCGTAGACTCGCTGCACTCAGAGTTTCAACAAATCATAATAGTTTTTAGATCATACATTTTGCTAACTTGAAATTAAAAATCCAAAGTCTTCATTTGCTGTTTTGTTTTTTTTTGCATTTTAAGGGAATAGACAATATTATCACAAGTTCAAAGGACTGTTCCAGATGTTTAGTTCCAAAGGGGAGGATGTAGACAAACTCATAAATTTGATTGGTGAATAACTTAGTAAGACACCAAATCAAAGATGCATTTGTTGCATTTTGAAATTGCAATTTTAAAGCACCAAGAATTGATTTGATGACGTTCAAATGTGCATTTAAACATTGTTAAACTTTTGAATTTTATGTCAACATTTTTATCACCGATAGTGGCCATTAATCAATATATTGCCCATTTCATTTCAAAGTAGATTAAAATGGCAAACAAAAAAACTAAATTTTGACAATAGCAGAAAAGATGTCTGTTGTAAATATTACAGAGGAGAGCAAAAACATACCAGAAATATCAGAAATTCCATTGAACATTCTCTCTACATATCTGAAAACCAAAGAGCATTTTTGAAAGCAACAAACAACAGAATCAGACAGAACAAAAAAGAAAGTAAATGTAAGTTTCCAAATGCCAAAAGTGTGCAATATCTATTGTACATACAGTGTATGTATAATAGATATTGCACACAAATGTACAATAGATATTCTTGTTTACATAAAAAGCTAAACAAAATCAGGCAACAATTGAGACATACTAGACTCAAACCAAGCAGTAGATGGCCACATAAATTTTAAAAAATGTTACCAGAATTTGCACATAACTATAACCAATGTTTTCAAAGCAAACAAAACAGACAATGTGTGGGAGGAAATGGGAGGAGCTAAAGGGAAAGAAAATAAAAAGAGGGGAAAATGGTCTAAAAATGCCTTAGGGGACACAACATCAACACTGGGCAGATGTAGGTCTAAACTTAAAACAGGTTAGTTAACTATTGTATAAATATATCCAAATAACTATTGTTGTAATTTACCATAATAACAAATGTAATAATTGAATTTACCAATCTATAGAAATGCAAAAAACCTGAAGAGGGGTGCAAGTTACACAAAAATATCGCACCCGAAATGCATAGTAAATAAGTAAATAAAGAATATGAAGATAAGCTTTTGTCTCTGATTAAATGCGGTCCAGGCAAAAAAACAGTGGTTATTTCTGTAGAATTAACCCATGAAGTTTCATCAATTTTTGAGGAAATATTTTTTTAAAAAATTGATTTTTAAAAGGAAAACAATAGTGTTTAAGTGATTTGTGTCATAGATGTAAAAAAAAAAAAAAATGTATAACTCTTCCTTTGGAAGCAAATATGAGACATAATGAAAAACTTCCATGGTTATTCATTGGAAAATCCTCATTGTGTCTGTGATGCTTAAACATTGCCTACACAATATGCAACAAATAAGAAAGCACAGACAACATCAAAACTTTGTTCTAACTGCTCATACAATTGCCAAAACAAAATTTCTCTTTTTATTGACAATTGAAACATATGTTTGATAACATATTCTGAAAGCTGTAACAGTTCAATTTTTTTCACCAAATACAACTTCTAGATGGCAAACTTTAAAATCAGAAATCTATGAGGAATTGGGGGTATAGGATATCTATATATATACACCACTTATTCAGCTATGGTTCAGTAATAACTGCTCACTGACTCTTAGGATGGCTTAATTCTATGTTGAAATCAAAGATCGTAAAATCTCAGTCAACATCAGGACTGACATCTGATAGGGATAGAATTTGCACCCTATCATGTGTTTAAAAAATTATAAGATATCTCTACTCTAATAAAGGAGGGCTTCAAATTTGGCGAGTGAGGAGATGCAAGGTAAGTCGATAGGATGTCAAAAAAAAAAAAAAATAGATGAATTAACAATAACAAATAAACATTAATGAAATAAATCTAACTACATATAAGAAGATAAAGACATTATCTCTAACTATATCTTATCATTTATATGAGAGAGAGTTTACAATAAAAATTACAGGTAACCCCCGTATAACACGGTAGTTACGTTCCAAAAAATTGCCATGTTATGCGAATCCATGTTATGCAAAACAAAGAACTAGTACGAAAAGGAGGGTTAGATTCCAAAAATTAAAAAACATGCTACTATATTTTCGTAATTAAGATAAATATCTTTATTAAAATTTTCTTAAGTGATACATATTAATATAAATTAAACAATGTTTTCTTTGTCATCACTAAAAGCACTATTAACCGAGAGCGTTTTATTTTTGGCAAGTTATCCTTATCCTCTGAGTATTTTTCTGCATTATCTTC